CGAAGCTCTTTCATAGTAAGGTGAAACTAGTGACGACTTCTCATCTGGAAAGAAACTGAAGTCTGAAGGTTTCGACAAAGAGTTAAGAGAAGTAGCACAAAATATGACGAAAATAACAGATGCAGCAACGAGACAGGCAGTTCAAAGTGCCTATGACGCCGTTAGAGCAACTGTTGTGGAAAGTCAAGAAAAAGAGTTACAACAGACCAAAACAGACCTAGTAAATGCTTTCTTAAAAACGAAAAGTCAGGTAGGACACTATGCTGCAGATGGAACATAATACCAGCTGGTGGAAACTTATATACAGCTAGTGGAACCTATATACCACCAAACCTCCAAGAGAAGCACCTGCACCAGGACTACCTAAAAACATTTACATCGTCACATGGACACAGACACAGGCATGCACCAAAACCAACACAACAACCAACAGTTCAAAACCAGCACCACAACAACAACCAGCACAACAACCACCTCCACAACCAGCACAGCAACCAACAGTTCAAAACCCTGCACAACAACAACCACAAAAGAGCAAGGACATAAAAGAAGTAGAGAACAAGGAAACCAAGATTTCTTAAAAATGCTTAAAAGAAGACTATGGTTACCAGATACTCTTGACTTTAGTGACAGATATAAAGAAGCTATTAGAAAGTTCAAGGAAGGAAATACTGACCCGAACCTATTTAGCTTTATGGCTCAGCACCAAATGGATATAATTTCAAACCTGGAAAATACAAGCTCGCTAAGGGATATGATTTAATAGCATATCATCCAAATGACATGACTGAATTTACTCCGAGATATTTGGTGTCAGAGCTAAATGACAATTCAACTCTCTTCATGAAACGCGTAAAAAATAGAGACGGAACGAAAGAAGAAAGGTTTATGAGTCCGGATGACTTAGATAGGGAACTTGTTAAAAACGGTCTCGGAATATATGAAATGCCAGCAGATGAGGTACAAGAAACTCCACAGGAAGAAGTTCAGATACAACCAGACATGGAAGAAATAGTTCAGCAACAACAGCTAGAAGAGCCTGAAGGAAACGAACAAGTCCCTCCTTTGGAAACTAACTTCACAGAACTAGATGAAGATTTGGAACAGCCGAAAAATCTTGACCCTCAACAAGTGTATGAGGAGAATATGGAATCTTTCCAAGAGTCTAAGAAAAATTCGGCTGACATAGTAGAAGAATATCGAAAAATGTTTGCCGACATACAAAAGACTCCAACACCAGATGAAAATATTCAGCATAGAATGGAAGTACTGAAAGAAAATGTACGCAAATACAATAACCCTTTTTACTTACGACCATATAACGTTCAATCTTTGGCTGAACTCGGTGAAAATAAAAGGTTAAATTTCAACAAAACATATAGAAATGAAACATTGTTTAAAGTTCATTCAGAACCTAACCAATATGGAAACAAACCTACTTTTGTTTCTGCAGACTATGGAACTACAATGAGATGGGGTCATAAAGCTAACCGGATAGGTGGTTCATAAACTTACAACCACAATTCCAAGAAGTTGTAGACGCAATGGAAGTGAATGGTGAACCAGATTAGCTGGTATTTTCAGCGCGGCTTTAATGCCATTGAAAGATATGAAAGATGCAGATATTTTGGACCAGTATGAAATGAACATGGCTGATGGAAATATAACACCTGACGTTCTAGAACATTTATCTCAAAGAACTACACAGAACCATAGAGATGGTATATTTGGTGAAGAGTTTAGAAAGAAAGTTAGGGAGACAGAAGGAAGAGAACCTATTGTACATGACCTTGCAAACGAAAGTTTACAAAATGTCATAAAAACTTACTTTGCAGACAATGAACCGAGAAGGGATGAATATTTAAGAAAACTCAAATGGACAGTACCAAATGAAATGTTAGTATTGAAAAACATGTTCCTTGACAAAATAAAACCAACTACAGAAATAAATGACCCAAGCTGAAACGTTGGGTAAAAGCTTTCCCATTCACAAAAGATATTATTGGTAACATGGAAAGAAAACCAGAATGGCTACAAAAACATATATTTGGAAACGAGCTTATTCCATATGGACAAGCTCTGTTTGAAGAGCTTGAACCGGAAACTCAGGAAAGAGTCATGCAAACAATACGCGAAGACTCAAATACAAACTATGACAAAATCTTTCTAGGATATAGGTTACCTGAGATGGGCGACCAGAGCCCAAAGGCAAAAAGGACATGGGAAATTTACAACATACTAGGTGAACATGAGGCAAAGATGCAACAACTTGAAGCAGAGGGCAAGTTACCAAAAGCGACACCAAAGAAGAAGAGAAGAGTAGAACAAAGTGAAAGTAGTGAAGAAGTAACTTCATCTAGTGAAAGTAGTGGCAATGAAGGAAAAAGAAGAGTTAAAAAAAAAACTCAGTCAGGAAGAAAGTAAAGCTTGGTCCGAGTGGGTTCTATTATGACATATAAATCCAACTATTCTATATTTTTACCCATATGAAATGTACGCCGCTCAGAATATAACGCCAACAGTTTTGGATGCCATGAACGGAAATGTTTCCGAATGGTATAACGAATGCGACAATGCCATTAGAAGGTCAGAAATAGTTCCTGGAACTTACGAATATACAACTGCTGTTTCTTATGGAAATGTAGGTGAGTTTGGAGAAGGTTCTTCAACAACAGTAGATATTGCTTGCGACAGGTTTCATATTATTTCTATTGACAACTCATTCTTATACGTGGAACAAGACATTGAAATAAAACCTTCTGCCAAGTTGTCTGACAAGAAAGGTTGCAATGGAATTTTCTATGTCGGATACCAATATGCTCCAGAAGTTTTCATGGGATATAAGATATATTCTAACTCTGACTTAGTTCAAACAGTAACATGGGCAAACTATGAATGGTTCGCTTTGAGAAACTCAGTACAACCACAAGCTAGAGAACAAACAGACCAGTATGCAACTATTGAGAAAATAAGAAGACTTGACCCTAACGTTCCAGGAGTTTATGTTAACCTTTCTGGTTCAGATGGAAATGCTGCCACTAAAGTAAAACTGAAACTTAGAGTTCCTTTGTCATCTTTCCTCATCTTCAGGTTTTTAAGATACTTGCCAAACTGGGCAGGAAAAATTTCTATCAACTTACTCCAAGCAAAAATAACTTAGTCATTGCACCAACACAAGACCCATTCACTATTACAGACGTAAGGGAACAAATCAAAACGTCATTCGCCGAATTTTGCAAAGACAAAGTTGACTTAGACTTTGGTTTCTCAAACTTCAACAATGAAGTAAACTATTATTTCAATGCTGCTGGAACTGCTTGGGACCCAGTTAAGTTTACATGCGAACAGTTTGAATGCAAGAGAATAGAAAGCAGACTTGCAGTCTATATGTTGGACCCAGATATTTCAAATGCTTTAGCTGCCAAATATATTGCAGTTCCACTTATGTTCCCTATACACCAAATATCTGTCAAAGACTTTGCAGGTGAAGTTGGAAACCAAAGTGCTGACCCAGGTGCAAGAACAGATATTGCCTTAACAACTGCAATGAAACATGCAGATACTATGTTTGTACTGTTCAGACGAACTATAAATGACTATTCTTGTTTCTACAACCCTGGTATTAAATATCATATAAACATAGATGGCAAATATTATCCAAGAGAAGAATATTCTACAGTTGAGGATATGAGGTCATACAACTTGACATTAGATGCTATGAACTTTAACAACAACTTCACAACAACCATTAACCCTGAAATGCAAAATTCTATTATGCCATATGTGAAAGTATGGACTCATACAGGAGGTCAAAAAACTCAATATACAAATGGAGACCGTTCAAACTTTTGGCTTGGCATTCCATTTGCTGACTCAGAAGACTTTATGGGTGGTATTTCAACTGTTGGTACAGTTCAAATACAATATACTGGTGACAGAGACGGTCCAGATGAATTGAAAGCAAAGAAGTTTACAAAACCAATAGCACTTTTCACGGAAGATGCTCTTTTGAAGATTCGTTCGATGAAACCTGCTGGGGCTCCTCAGATTGGCATAACGACAGCTTCCATCGAGCAGATTTTGGCAGCAGGTCAGTAAGTTGTTCTTGAACTGACTTCTCTCTGTCAAATATTGACAGTACGCCAGTTTTGACATAATATTGTATTATAAACTTTCCTTTAGAAATATCGGTCAGTTTTGTTGTTATATTTTTGTCTGCTTCAAGAACTTTCACCATTTCGGTTATACCAACTTTCTTTGCTTTATGAAAATATTTTGGTTCAGCAAAGACTGCTATTCTATAACATTTTCCATTGTTTGTATAAAGAATTATTCTGTCAATGTATTTGTATTGTTTGTGTGTGTAAACTTTGTTTTGCTTCAATTCAAAGAGATATCCGAATACGTCCATCTTTTTATTCTAAGTAAAATGTCATTTCCGAAAAATAGAAGCGTAAGTGTTTCAAAAGGTTTAATGGCGGTGGCAGATGTGAAGTTAAATTCACCAACTCAAACAAACAGTCAAAGTGTTGTTGTCAATGTCAAAGACAGAGATGTTGAAGTGGGGAAACCATACGAAGACCAAGATGGTATAACAATAGTTCCTGTAAAAGAACAACCAACATACCCTGAAGTTAGCAGAGACTTAAGTTCTGTTGCAGATATTCGAAACGACTACCAACAACTGAAAGACAAACTTCAAACTCAGGAGAAGATTTGTCAAGCTTTAGGTATAATGTTAAACTTGGTCGAACACAACCCTGTAAAAGTGAACTCATATGTCATTGCACCTCATGAAGTTTTGAAAGAACTATTGAAACTTTTGACAGAGGCAGACGATATAAACATCAAAGAAATAGAACCCGACGTTAGTTGCTGTGGTGTTTCATATAATGTCATTGACAAGATATACGTTATGAAAGGAGGTGAAACGTTGAACTTAAAATATAGTTTCCCAGACGTTATAAAAATATTTGACGACCACAACATTTCATTAAAGTTTATTTGCTAAGTAAAAATGTCAAAACTTCTTGAAAGATGTTTGAAGAAAAATAATATAGACTTTATTTCATGTAAAGGACTTTACACACTTTTGAACGATATGAAAGACCCTGTTTTGTTTGTTCGTGTAGACAAAGGAAAGTTCTATGTCTTTACAAAATATTTGAACTTCTTAGACAGAGAACTTCAAGAAACGCCATGTGAAAGTTTAGATGAAGTTCTTCTCCACTTTCAGAAAAACTTTTAAATATATGTAAATGGCAGAAGACATAGTGGTTTATACTATTACGACTAAAAACCCTGAGTCATATAATTCTATAACAACAAACTTACAAAGTCCTCAAGGACGATATTGTAAACTAACCTTAAACACAATGACGACTAAAGCTTGTTTTGCTCTTTTGACACCAGAAGATTTTATTGTTGTGAATGGTAAAAAATACTCCTTTGAAGATACTTACTCAGATATACCACCAACAGGTTTTGTTGACTTATTTAATACTTTAAGGACGAGTGTAACATGTGCTGCAACTAGAGCAGGTTTCATTATGTTTGGATGTCCGACTGAGTTTACTATAAACGATATGAGCTATAATACAAAACTTATATCTGGTTTTTACTACCAACAGTTTCCTATAACAGGAAAAGGTGTCATACAAGGAATGTCTGTTCCATTGACTTTAAGTACACCTATTTTATATATTGTTTCAAACTTAGGTTCAAAGTGTTATTCGAATGTCGACAGAAACTACTATGACCAAAAGATACTTATGCGTATAAATAACACATTCTCTGCTGGTTTGCCTATTGTTCATTCGAATGCAGAGTTTTCAGCTTTAGTAAACTCAAACACTTTAGCAAACATAAACTTAACCTTAGTTGACGCAAACTTTGTTCCTGTAAAACTTTTATGTCCTATGTATTTGTCAATGACGGCAGAAAGTTTCGAATTGGAAGATGCAACTGGTGAAAGTATTGTATTACAAGAACAACTTCAACAACAAATAGCTCAAGAACAACAAATGCAACAAATAGCTCAAGAATAAAAAAAAATATTTTTTTTATTTTTATAAAAATGTACAGAATAGATGTTTCAGATTTTTATGACTTCCAAACATTCAGAAATATGTGTCCATTTCGAGACTATAACAAAGCAGTCGAGAATTTGAAACGTTTAGTCATTTATGTCGACTCTGCCCCAGAATGTTATGTTATGAAAGAATGGGATGTAGTCTTTAACAAACCTAAAGCGACAATAGTTTCAGAACAAGAATGTAAACAGAAACTTAAGAAAATAAAAGTCGTACAAGTTGGCATGAAGATGTTAGATGCTTGGGATATCTTATTGTCAAAACTTGAAGATTTTTCAGTTCGTGGTATAAAGTTTATACACCATCTCCAAACTTCTATTCTATCTTCACTGGATATAAATATGAACAAGTAGAATGGAAAGAAAATGTTATAGAAGCTTGGTTAGACCATGTCAAAGAAATTATATGCAATGGAAACGAAAGAGTCTATGAGTATATCTTATGTTGGTTTGCAAACATCTTACAACATCCAAGTGCTAAAAATGAAACTGCTCTCATTATAATTGGAAAACAAGGAACAGGTAAGAACACTTTCTTTACAGATATCTTATGCAAACTGTTAGAAGGTTATTCGAACCCGAATATGACAAACTTAGAAAACATCTGTGGCAAGTTTAACTCTTCAATAGAGAATATGAAACTTATAGTATGTAACGAACTTCAAAGTATAGATACAACAAAAGTTTTGAACTCAGATGCTTTGAAGAGTCTTATAACAGACAAAGTTGGAGTTGTTGAAAGAAAATATAAAGACCAAAGAGTTTGTGAAAATGTTGCAAACTTCGTTATGGTTTCAAACAATGCTGTTCCGATGAAGTTAGAAAGTTCTGACAGAAGATATGTAGTTGTCAGAACGTCAGATTCTCATATGCAAGATACAGAATATTTTGACGACTTAGCAGAAACTTTGACATCTGACTTTTACAACCACTTGTTCTCATATTTCATGACATTAGATATTTCAAAGTTCAATCCAAGACAAATTCCACATACCGAAGAGAGACAAACATTGTTAGAAGCAAACAAGAGTGTATATGAACTGTTCATAGATGAAACTGACTTTGAGTGTTTAGATGAAAGGTCATCGTACGATTCGTATAAACAATATTGTCAAGAGTATGGTTATATGACAGCGTCTAAACGAACATTCTTGGCAAATGTCAAAAGTCTTTTAGACGTACAGAATGGTGTATATACAAAGAAAAATTTTTCTGAGTAAATTTTAAAAAAAAATATTTTTTTATCCGATAGAAAAGATGACGAAATTCATCTCAATAAACAAGTACATGTCAGGACTTAAAGAAGAACTAGACCCATTCACATATTTGAATGTTTACTTCTACCATTTTGAAAAGTCTTCATTCAGCAAAGTTTGGAACATCGAACCAGTTAAGTTTGCTATTGTGACTAAAAATGGTGCGAAATTTGAAGACTTAGACATAGAAGGTTTGTTAACAGTCAAAGAAAGTTTTGACAGAAGGTTCTCAAACCTTAAAGAAGGCAAAGTATACAAACTTGTTATACCTTATGAACCAAAGAAAGCAGACGACTATGAATATTATGAGTCTAAGATAGTTGAAGTTCAAGGTAAATTGGGTAAAAAGATTTTAGAGTCTAAGCCAGTGTTTACTCCTAAAGAGGAAGAGAACATTGACATTGACCCAGAAATGTTCAAAAAATAAAATTTTATTTTTACATGTCAAATTTCTTTTTCTCTGGAACTGGTTCAGGTTCTTTCTTCTCTTCTTCTACTTTCTTTTCTTTCTTTTCTCTCTTCTTCTTTTCTGGTGGAGTTATGTCAAACTTCTCAGAACCATATTTATGTAAAAGTTCTTTGTCCTTTAATAGCTCATCTATTCTGTTTTCTATTTCATCTTCAAGAACAGCGCATGTGTCTTCTTTGCATTCTAAGAAGTTTTGTTGGACTTCATCTCTCCAAGAGGCGTCATCTCTGTCAACAAGTCTGTCATTGACAAATTTTAAGACTTCTCTGCTTAATGTTTTATGGTTCTTGTCATATTCCCAGAAACAGAACTTTAGAACAAATTCACCTTTCTTGTTTACACTATGTAAGATTTTATGGTCTACAGATGTTTTGCTGTCGAAAAGCTTGTCTCGAATATAGATGGCGAAATCGCTAGACATTTTCTAAAAGATAAAAATTTTAATTTTTCTAAAAATATGTTAGAAAAAAAGTTTGCTGACATTGACAAAAAATTTGAGAATGTTTTAAATAAGAACAAGAGGAAGTTGGAAAATGCTCAGATAAAACCCATACATGACAAGTTCTTATTTGCTCAGAATGGTATAACAGGTCTAATTGCACCACCTGGGTCGGGTAAGACTTTCACTTATCTTAAAATGGCTGCACAACAACAAGAACTAGATGAGAAGAACCCATTCTATGAGTTAGTTGTTATTTGTAGTACTTCTGGTCAATTTGACCAAACCGTCAATTCGTTCAAAGATATTATAAAGAAGTCTAAGTTAGTATGTATAAAAGACTCTGAGTTGTTAGATTGGATAAAGAAGTACCAAAGAAGAGTTTTGAAGTATAATGCTATAAATGAGTATATAAATTCGAAGTTTAAAGACCCAAATGAGGAAATGCAGAGAATATTAGAGAAGAAACACTTCAGAAACAAACAGAAAGAGATAGAATACATTTCGAAGAAATTGCAATCTTACGATTGGAAAACGTACCCTCATAGATGTCTTCTTATCTTAGATGACTTTGCTTCTCACCCTTTGTTAAAGAACAGAGAACAAGACATGTGTCGAATTCTTAAGAAGCTCAGACACTTTAACATCTCAGTTGTCATTTGTGTACAGACAGCAAAGAGTTTAAGTAAGGATGTAAAGAGAATACTTACTGACATTGTACTTTTCCCCGGATTGTCCGAAGACGATTTCATGGAACTTATGAAAGAGTCCATGGCAGGTAAGTTTGACAGACATGAACTATGGGAGAAGTACAAAGTCATACAAGACCCTCATACTTCTTTC